GTATTTTTGTTCACTTGTTGAGTTGTTTCCATAAGATTGAGATAAGATTGGAGCTATTGTTACATGTATGTTGAGATAAGATTGGAGCTTTTATTTAAATGAATGTATCTCGTTGTCATTGTGCCTAATTGAGTAATTTCTGATTCTTTTTCTAAGATGGAAAATTCACAAAACAAAAACACAGAAGACATTGGACGTAATACGATGGGTAATGATACAAACGAATCTGTAAGCATGCCTATGGGGTCAAATATTAGTCCTGAGACTGGAGAATGGCGACTAATGTTTGTGAGAAGTTAGATTTATTTTATCGTGTGACAGAGACATTCTCCGGGACCAAATACCCCACTTCCAACATGTTCTTCCCTTTGATATGTGACATAAAATTATCTATTAAGAGWTGGGAAGACGATGAAAATGACGTTATTAGGAACATGGCATCAAGTATGTTGTTTAAGTTCGATAAATATTGGGGAGTCATACATGATGTGATGAGTGTGGCCATTGTTCTAGATCCTAGATATAAGTTAAAGTTGATAAACTATTTCTTCCCGAAGATTTATGGTGTGGGCTCAAAAGATGAGGTTATGAGGATAAGGACTCTATGTAATGATTTATTTGAGGAGTACAAAAAGAAAGATGATCAGAATAAAATGAAAAGACAAAGTGGCACTTCTCTTTCAAGTGAGGGGAATTCTTCTTCAACCAAGGCCTCATGGCAATTGGATTTTCAGAATATGATATCTGAGGATGACATGTTTGAAAAGACCGAGTTAGATGATTACTTGTCAGAGAAATTGTTACCGCTGGATGAAGAAGAGTTTGATATATTAACATGGTGGAAGTGCAATGGTATCAAGTTTCCTATCATGCAGCGGATTGCAAGGGATGTGTTGGCCATTCTTATTTCAACAGTAGCTTTGGAATCGGCTTTTAGCATGAGTGGAAACAAGGTAACGAAACAATGAAGTCGACTAAAATCGCAAACAATTGGGGCTTTGATGTGCAGCCAAAGTTGGCTAAGGAAAGAAATTGAAGGTAATAATTATATAAATTGTTTGTTGTAATAATTACGTAAATTGCAATTGGTATATATAATTATTCTGACTTGCATTCTTAATTCTTTTATTTCAGATCAAAAACACGGAGAACCAAAAGGATTTGATCAAATGATTGGATACGATGAAGATGTTGATTGATGAGGGATTGGATCATTGGAGTATGGAATTATGTGTTGTTCGATAAATTTGGAAAACACTTGTTTTAAATTTTCCATCTTCTTGGATTATTGTTAATTTTAAAATTTTATTATTTTTATTAGGTAAGACTAGATATGATGTAATTAACTAATTATGTTGGTATGTTGATATTCCTTAGAAAAAACTAATTAATTTTAAATTGACCGGGTGTTGACCGGGGGTTGACCGGGGTTGACCGAAAGTTGACCGGGGCCGGGGCCGGGGATTGCAAACCCCGCCCCATCCCCGCCCCGTTGCCATCCTTAAGTTAATCATTTCATTTTTTGTTATTTTTTTATTTTTTTGTTTTTTTGTTGTCTTTTTCTTTTTTATACTAATTTTTTTAATTATCTTATAATACATATATACTATTACAAATATTATTTTTTATTTTATAAAAATATTAATATTAAAAAATATTGATTTT